GAGGGAGGTGAAGAAGAAGAAGAAGGTTGGCGAGGAAGGAGACCCGGCAGCCATAGCTGACCGGAGGGTTGACCGAGAGGGTTGACCAGAGGCATTGACGGCGGTGACCGGAGTTGACCGAGGGTGGACCAAGGGTCATAGCAGCGTTGACCAGCGTTGACCAAGGCCATTGACCAAGGCGTTGACCAAGACTGTGACCAAGCTGGAGTTGGTAACATCTCGCCAAGCCCTTAGCCTACCCCTTGCCCTGTGGATGTGCACACACCCCTTGGTACTTGCTGAGTCAAGTCAGTCTGTCTATTCTTTCTGCATTGAGTCTCTTTTGTCCTAGGTCATAGTACTCTGTGGATGAAGGATAGGGCTTGGATGACAAAACCCTAGTCTGACCTTGTAGGGCTAAGACTGTGGCTGATCCAACTTTCCAGGGGGGCATAACCCTCCCAAGGACCGGTGCTGACCGGCTGGAAACGGTTGGTAGGACTGAGTGGGCTTGAACGGCAGTTAGGGCTGACACACCAGGCAGTCTTTAAGTGTTGAGGGCCTGTTGAACCACTCCCGACTGTCCCGGGGGATACGAACCCTCCCAAGGACCGGTACAGACCGGCGGGCTGCTCGGTGTGGCACAGTAGGCCGGAAAGGCTGAGTTGTGGGCTGAAAGCACAAGCAGAACCAAGCTGATCACGTCGTCCTGTCTGCGACGTTAAAGAATTATTGAGGAGTTACGGGGGATCTCCTTAAATGCCTCCTGATCAGCCACTGGTTCAGTAGTGACAGCCATAGCATAGGTCTAGGCTAGAGACCATAGTTGATAGGGTCCTTGTCAGGATTCCATAAGTCTTAGATTGAGTCTATAGGTTTGTCAGTCAGGGGTCAAAGTCTACGTGGTGAGGTCTGGAACCACTAACCCGGTTGTACACTTATCACCATGGTTGGGACCCGTAGTGGGTTAGAGACTAGCCCCTATAGTAAGGAGCAGCAAGAAAAGATGGCCGCCTTAGTCCAAGAGAACAGGGAGAGAAAAGAGCGTGAGAAGCAAGCGAAGCTAAAGGCTATCGCAGACGAGCAGGCGGCGAAGATGAAGAGATTGGAGGAGGAGATGAAGAGAGTACAACAAGAGGAGGGAGAAAGAAGAAAAGCTGCTGAAGCAGAAGCGGCAGCAGAAGAAGAGAAAGAGAGAATGAGGATTGAGAGTGGAGAAGGGAGCAGTGGTGGCACGATGAAGTGGGAGACAGATACTGAGTTAGAGAAGAAGATCAGCGAGTGGGTCGCTAATTTATCGTTGGTAGAAGACGAGGAGGCGGAGTCATATGTGACTAAGGATGAGAAGGCTGCGCTGGCCGCTGAGCTAGCAGCCATGACGGATCCGATGGAACGAAGAGAGAGGGAAGACGAGAAAAAGTTAGCATGGAAGCTGAGAATGAAGAGGGAGAAGAAGAGGAGGAAAGAGGAGGTGAATAAGATGACCGCAGCAGTGGCAAAGGTGCAGGAGTGTAGAGCGGAGGTGCTGGCCCAGCCAGATGATAAGGCCAAGTGGGACAAGGTACTGGGCTACCTAGAGGTGTTGAGCAAGGCTTGGATCGAGGAGCGCCAGGCAAGCTGGAGCCAAGATGTAGCATTGAGTGCCATGCGGTCCGGTTTCAGGGATTTTGCGCGCGAAATTGTCACCCACATTGGGGGCGAAGTCAAGCAGTTGAGGGACAATGTAGGGAAGTTTTGTGAGGGCGCCATTCAGGGTGCCAAAGCTTCAGCCGCTGTAGAAGGAGAGGCCAGACCCCGTAAGGACCCAGTGAAACTGATGCGTACGGGGGAAAGAAGGAAGAAAACTTTGACAATTGGGAAGCTAGTGTCAATAGTTATATTTACTTACAGCACAACCTGATTGAGGAACAAGTCCTCGTGGCCTTCCAGGCCCTCAAAGATGAAGCGGCTAGTTTCGCCAGGTCCCTTGCGCGTACAGCCGGTTGTGAAAACAACCTAGTTGCCTATTCCAAAGTCACCCCTCTGTCCCGATTCCTCAAGCTCCTCAAGGAGCGTTTCGCTAACCCAACGCGAGGCATTAGAGTTTCTGACAGGCTGCAAACAATCCACTCCCGGCAGTGGAGGAGTGCCAAGGCACTCAAGGGTACCATGGACGACTTAGTGGCCGTCCCGAACCATGGGGTCACTGAGACCCAGTTGGTCCAATTGTTTTAACTTGCCATACCAGAGGCCCTGCGAGGGCATTTCTTTAACAAATCTCCACAGGCCAGCATCACATATGATGCATTCAGTAGGGAAGTTGTCCTGTACGAGTCAAAGTCTATGCCAGTTACCACCTTCTGGCCCAAAGACTTGGAAAAGGGAAAGGGGTGGAAAGGGCGTACCATCTCTGGCCAAGTCAAGGCCAAGGATCATATGATCCTTACCTTAGAGGAAGGTGGTACAGACGAGGTTCCGTATAGTCAGATCGAGTGGGGCCTCGAGGATGATGGCAGTAGGGTGGGGCAAGGGAGGTCCTATGCTGCTGTCGCAGCTGGAGGGAAGCCGCAAGGTAGAGGAGGAGGCCAGGGCCAAAGGGGCCAGGCCATGGGAGGCCGTGGGCCGGGCGCACAGGGGGTTGGCAGCCAAGGAAACCGCCAAGCGGGAGGTAGGGGTCAAGGTCCCCCGTTAAATTGCCAGGGTAATCGGTCCCCACAGCGAGGAGGTGGAAGGGCACCTAGGCTTGCCACAGGGCAGGCCCTGGAAAGACGTGGGCTTGGACCGACAATTATGGCAGGAACGCGTGAACATGGGTCAATGCGTATTTTGTGGTGACCCGACGCACGTAATAAAATTTTGTCCTAAGTATAGACAGGCCCGTTGGGCTTCCCAACAGTCAAAAGGCAACCGCCAGTAGGGGTTGCAACTGCCCCTACTTCAAGGTCATGTGGAGAAGTGAGCGCGCGCGAACAGGACACTCCCAACCCACATGAATCTATGGCGGAGGTTGCAGGCTCGTGCCTAGCTAGCTGTCTAGAGACCGCCTGTGTTAGCGTCTCTTTAGGCACGTCCCTCACAGGTGTGGCAGAAGAGTTGAAGGAGAGAATGCCAGCCTGGGCCAAGATGAAGAAAGAGAGTAAAGGACAGTTGATCTTGGTAGATGTAGAAGTCTTTAGAAGCAGAGTAGGGGCCCTCATAGACTCAGGGGCCACTCGCAGTTATATTAGCCGTAGGGCGCTGAAGAAGCTGAAGCTAGGATTAAAAGTCCAGAAATTGGCAGACCCCATAGTCAGTGTCCTCGCAGACAACCGCACGATGTGAGTGGAGGACTACGTAGAGGGAGTCCAGGCGTACTTTCGCCTAGGGAAGGATGGGAAAGTGGAGAAAGTTCTCCATTCTTTGACTCTCCTCGTACAGGATGACCTTCCTTTCGATATAGTGTTAGGAATGGATTGGGGAGAGGCAACAGGGGCCACACTGCATTTGAGAGAGCATGAGTGTAGGCTCCCAAATCCGTCAGGCGAGGTTAAGACTGCCCGCTTGTTCCATGTGTCTGAACACCTTGGCACATTGCTGTCTCAGTGCTCCCGCGTTCGAGCGATTAGTCAAAAAGGAGCAGTTAGAGGAACAGGTCTTTGTAGTGTATGTTAGACCTGTCACCGAGGGCAAGGAAGAAATAAGTTCCACAGATCCAACCATACCCAAGTTGCTGGAAGAATTCAAAGATTTGACAGAGTCGCCAACAGGAGTAGTGTCGCGACCTGTCCAGCACAGGATAGAGATAGAGTCTGGCAGTAGAACTCCTAAGGGTGCAATCTAGAGGATGTCCCCTAGAGAGTTAGAGGAGATTCGCAAGCAGTTAGACGAACTCCTTGAAAAGGGTTGGATCAGGCCCAGTTCGTCTCCTTTGGAGCACCCGTTTTGTTTGTCCCCAAGAAGGAAGGAGAACTGAGAATGTGTATAGACTATAGGGGTTTGAATGCGATTACTCTAAAGAATGTTGAGCCGCTGCCCAGGATAGACGATATCTTAGATAGGGTGCAGGGTTGCAAGTATTTCTCCAAAATAGACTTGAAGTCCGGATACCATCAGATAGAAGTCCACCCTGATGACCAGTACAAGACTGCGTTCCGGACTAGATACGGGCACTAGAGTTCGTAGTGATGCCCTTTGGGCTAACCAACGCGCCAGCTACCTTCCAGCGTTGTATGAACGACCTGTTTAGAACATGGTTAGATAAGTTTGTAGTAGTCTATCTAGATGATATTCTCGTTTTTAGTAAGACCCTCCAGGAGCACCAGGGTCATCTGAGGCAGGTCTTGGAGAAGCTTAGAGAGGCTAACTTCAAGATCAACGCAAAGAAGTGTGAGTGGGCTAAGACACAAGTTTTGTACTTGGGCCACGTGTTGGACGGAGATGGTATTAAGCCAGAGGACAGCAAGATAGCGGCAATTAGAGACTGGCCGACGCCCCGCACATTGACAGAGTTGCGGTCGTTCCTAGGCTTAGCTAACTACTATAGGAAGTTCGTAAGGAACTTCTCCACTATCGCCGCCCCCTTGCGCAGAATGCTAAAGAAAGAAGCAATCTGGCAATGGGACAAAGACTGTACGTCCGCGCTCAAGAAGTTAAAGCGCGCGTTAATAGAATATCCTGTCCTCGAAGTAGCAGATCCGTCCTTGCCATTTGTCGTTACCACGCACGCAAGTCAGTATGGGATAGGCGCCGTGTTGCAGCAAGACGACGACAATGGCTATAGACCCGTAGAGTTCATGTCAGCGAGGATGCCCTGTGAGAAGGTCGCTACCTCTACGTACGAGCGAGAACTCTACGCTCTTAGGCAGGTTTTAGACCATTGGAAGCACTACCTCCTTGGGAGGCACTTCAAAGTGCATTCAGACCACGAAACGCTTAGATGGTTAAAGACCCAGGCCAAGATGACACCTAAGTTGACTAGGTGGCCCGCGGAGATAGACCAATTCGATTTTGAGCTCAAGCCAGTGAAGGGCAARTACAACGTAGTTGCGGATGCTCTGAGTAGGAGATCAAACTACTTTGGAGCCGTAGTACACTATCTGGATATAGGGAGAGACTTGCAAGAGAAAGTGAGGCAAGTATATGCGCAGGACCCTATCTATAGCGACCTCCTAAAGAGACTTAGAGAGGCCCCAGAGACCGAACCAGATTACAGCACTACAGACGAGTTGCTGTTTAAGAAGACTAATGTGTTTGACCGCCTGTGCATTCCCAACAACAAAGAGATTCGTAGGCTGATCCTAGGGGAATGCCACGATACTGAGGGACACTTCGGTTCGCAAAAGACATTAGCCAATCTAATGCGTGCGTATACATGGCCCGGAATGAAGAATGACTGCATAGAGTATGTTCGCAGTTGTAAAGTGTGCCAAAGGAATAAGTCTCCCCTAGGTCTTCTCAGGCCCTTGCCTATTCCGGATCAGCCGGGAGACTCCGTGTCCATAGACTTCATGGACACCCAAGTCAAGAGTAAACATGGTAAGAGCCAAGTCATTGTCGTAGTTGACCGCTTTAGCAAATATCCAGTTTTCGTTCCTTTGCCTGCAGAGGCACGTACGGACTTAGTTATACAGAAGTTTTTTGACTTTTGGGTTAGTGAGAATGGAATCCCATTGTCAATAGTTAGTGATAGAGATAGTCGTTTCACCAGCGAGAACTGGCAAGAACTCATGAGAGTTTACGGATCTAAGTTGCTAATGTCATCTGGCCGTCACCCAGAGACTAACGGTCAAACAGAACAGATGAACAAGATCCTACAGCAAGTTTTGCGCATATACATTAGACCAGATCAGATTAACTGGGACGAGATGTTGCCTAAGGTAGCTAGTGCATACAACAACAGCGTGCATCTATCCACCTGCCACACTCCCAATGAGTTGCACAAGTCCTTTAGACCACGCAGACCGTTCGAAGGACTGAACCGGGATCAGATTCGCAGATTACCGCCCGGTACCAGGGAGTTTGCGATACAGCACGACAAAGAACTAGCCACTGTTGTTGAAAACCTCAAGAAGGCCCAGCATAGGATGATAGAGCAAGCTAATAAGCACCGCCGCCCGTCGCAGTTGCAGGTAGGCGACTTAGTCTGGGTCAAGGCTAAACAGTTTGCACCTGAGGAAAACATCTCGCAGAAGTAACTGCCCGCATATAGAGGACCGTGGCCGGTTCTAGAAGTCAAGGGCGGAGAGGATGGACCGTCCTACAGCACTGAGATTCCAGCACACCTCCACACATACCCCGTGTTTCACGCTTCAAAGCTGCTACCGTGTGTCACAAGTCAACAGTTCCCTTCGAGAAGATCCATGATCCCCCCGGATATGGATGGAAGTTATGACATTGAAGGCRTTGTAGATGAGGATGTGTTCAGAACAGGAGGTAGAGGTCGTCCCAAGAAACAATATAAGGTCCATTTTGCCTATCAGGAACCGGAGGACGACCGCTGGCTCACGAAAACAGAACTTCTAGAAACCGCTCCGGACATAGTCAGAGCCTATGAACGTGACAAGAAAGGTAAACGTCCCGCCTTGGACTGAAATGTTCTCGGAGGACCTCGAATTTAGGACGGCAGGAGTGAAACGGTTTTCACCTTTTAGCAGTAGCGGATGCAGCACCCAGGGTTCGATCCCTAGACCTCACCCTACCTATGTACAGTATCTGTATAGATCCCGAGAATTGAACCTGTGACCTGTGTATTCGCAGACAGTTGGYAGGTCTGTCGTAGGTCCCTAGGCAGCAGGGGTTCGATCTGTAGGTCTATAGCGTAGAAGTCTTAGTGAGTTCCGGAAGCTTAGCTGTAGACCTTCTAGAAGGTAGGCAAGTGGGCAAGTGGGCAAGTGGTGAGGCAAATGGTGGACTAAACCGCAGTGCAACAGCAGTACAACGTCGGTAGGATAGCGGTGAGTCCACAGTCAGTCAGCGGAAGGTCCAGTCAGTCCCAGTCCGGTCCAGCAAGTACCACAGGGGGACTGTGAGCACCAAGGGCCGATGGCAAAGGGCAGACCAACGAGTTTCTGAAGTATAAATCAAGAGGCAGCGCCCAGCCATTCATGGANAGCCATTCATGGATTCCTGCGTGAGCCATGCGGAAGCGCTGCCACAGCGACTTGTGCAAGGAGGTCTGCAGATGAGCCCGGAGGACGCAGTGGGCAAGAGAGAGGGAGTTAGCATAGCGATAGGTTAGATGCAGCGATAGCGTAGTTAGTAGCGAGTGTGTGTGTGTGTTCGAGTGTTAGAGTGATGCATGTGGGATATCCAGGGTGATCCAGTGTAGGTGAACAATGAGATGTTTGGGACATGGTGGAGACGGATTTTAAAGTTTCCATGAATGATAGCCAGTATATTCAAAAAAATGATTTTTATAGATTGATAAATCAAATATGATACTCATATTATTGTATTTTATGAATTCAATTGTATGAATGAATTATGAAAATATTAATATATCAATGAATTTTATACTTCATAGAATAATTTGGATTCATATGAAGATTTATTTATATATAGGGCCATGACAATCAGGATGAGAGGTGGAGGAGGAGAGATGGAGCATTAGAGGAGCACAGATGGAGAGATGGCGGAGGAGGATGAGGAGAGATGGGAGGAGGGAAGATGGACGAGGAAGGGTAGAGGTGGTAATACCGACACAAATCGAAGTTCACATAAGAGAGAAAAGGTGATGAGACCTTGACGAGGAGGGACAGAGGAGGACAGGAGAAGACACAGGAGGACAGGAGGCGGCAGAGGAGGAGAGATGCACGAGGAGGGGCGGAGGTGGCAGAGGAAGACGAAGAGGAGAGATGGAGGGGACGACGAGGCGGAGAGATAGAGGGGACGACGAGGAGGACGAGAGATGGAGGGGACGAGAAGGAGGCGAAGGTGACGAGGCGGTAGTCCAAGATACTTTCAAAGCTCCGAGTACAAGATTCGATACTATGGGGAAAAAAGGAAAGGACAATACCACGACGGGGAGGAGGAGAGATGGAGGAGGAAAGGAGGAGGAGGAAGGGGAAGATGTGGAGGAGGAAGATGTGGAGGAGGAGGAAGGGGAGGAGGTGAGTTCAAGGGAGGGCAGGAGGGCTGGTGAAGACTCACCTTGATCAAGGGAGGATGATGGAAGTCAGCGCTTGTGGTCACTCCGAAGCTCGACGATGGTGGCTGAAGCAAGGGCGGTGGCTCTGACGCTCGACGATGGTGGCTGAAGCAAGGGAGGTCGGCGCTGCTCACAAGTTCACAACGAAGACCAAGGCGACAGGCGACGGCGCTGCTTCCTCTTGGACAGCGGGCCTGCAACGACGAAGAAACAGCCGAGGACAAAGAAACGCGCCCCCCCCACCAAAACGATTCCGAGGCCCAAAAAAGTTCAAATTCATTTCGGGCCGCGATTGAGCGCGGCCCTCTGAAATTTTTTTCCGGGCCCTAGTTCGTCTTTTGCTGGGGGGGTGGGGGAGCAATAACGAACCGACACCTGCATTTTTTTTTTTGGGCTTGGGCCTGGGCTCTTGTGCATCGCACGGTCCGGTTGCACTTGCACCCCAACAGCGCGTGAATTAGCGCACGACATGCTTCTAAGCACAGCTGCAGTGTGCGCAAATGCGGCACACTCGCATGGCCGCACAGGTTGATGCACCGCACCCCAAAAACAGGGGTTGGAAAAAAAAAAGGGGGAGCGGCCAGGCGGCCCTCCCCTCCCCTCCCCTCCCCTCATGAAAATGGTAGTCGGCAAAGAAAAAGAAAATTGGGGCTGGGCTCAACAGGGACCCCAAAAAAGCTGTCTGATTCATGAGTCTCATGTCTTTCAGTGCACCTTGAATGTATACCAGTGATCGTTAAGGTAAGATACAGTCACTGTGTGTGTGCTTTAGGCTGTTTCAACGGGTAGTTCTGACAGCATACCTACGATCCGGACAGCCGAACAGGGATCCAGACTGACCGGTGTCCAGCGTCCGTTCCAGGTTTCTGGATCGTGGTCCGGATGGGGGGAAAATGGGAGGTAGCCCAATTTTTTTTCAGGCGGCCCAGGTCGTTTTTTTCCATTCTGGGCCGCCGTGGAAAAATGCTGGGCGATTTTTCAAGCGTTACATGTGGCATCCAGACAGGGCCGAACGGAGGCCCTAAGTTTTGTTTTCCCGCCCTGCCCTCGTTTCAAAGCGAACGAAGATCTTTCTGGTATTTTGTCTTTTGCACAAGGCCCTTACTGTGCACTATCAGACGCGCCCGTCTCTTCCCAAGATAGGCTGCTTAGTACATCACTACATTCCCACCCACCTGCCCCCCCAAAACAAAGGAAGTCAAAAAAAAAAAAACGAAAAAAGATGATCCTACTTTCAGAAAGAAAACAGCACTCGTCAGAACGGGCGCCTGCAATGAATCTGGGGGCTTTGGGGCTCGCTCCACTACTCACCGAATGCAAAATGAAAATGAATCTTCCGCTACAACATGGAATTTTACACCACCACCATATTTTCTGTCTTTTGTGTATGTGGTGAGTAGTGGAGCCAAGCTGTATGCCCACTCTCCAACGGGACCAATTTTTTTTCGTTTTTTAACTTTTTTAAACTTTTTCAAATTTTTGTTGTTTTTTTGAAAAACTTCCCTTGTTTTTGGCAGATTGGCATGGCTTGTCCTTTCAATGCGTGCGCACCTTCCCAGGATTGGACGCTTTGTACATTCCAGCAAACGACAAACAAGAACAACAGAAAGAAAACAAAAGATGAATATGCCATTTTAAGAAAAAAAACAAACGCCCATCAGAAGAGGCGCCTGCAACCGGGGAGGGGGAACTTTTTGTTCCACGTTTCCCTCTGCCAGCCACTTGGGGGGTTCTTTGAGTTCTGTTTTTGTCTATTTTTCACACGTTGGTTTTTTCATGTGGCCGTTGGCAAAAAGCCAACGGCATTCCAACGGACTAGCCCACTTTGCACACCCAGGACCTGTTGAAATACAGACCCAAGTTCGAATCCAGATACAATCAGATGACCAGAATAAAATAATTCTGAATTACCTGGGGCCGGTCAATGATTATCATAAGGCTGTCGCCCTTTTGAAAAAGAATATATATATATCGTCAAATAGAACTGCCCGGTAAACCGTAGGCAGAGAGGGAGAAGAGGACAACAAACGAGGGGCTGTGACAAACTGTTTCGTCGGAGTTTCACCGATATATAGCCAATACCGCCCAATGGCATAATTCAGCCTTCTGTTGCACGCCCATGAACTGTTGATATGCAGACCTGAGATCGAGCATTCCCCACACTGTTTTTATTTTATTATTATTTTTCCCCCCCCCGGAAAATACAGGGGTTCTGCACTGGTCCGTATATTCCGGAATATCCCGGTTTTCCGGAAGTCCGGATGGGGCCAAGAAGTCCAGAGTCCGGTCGGGCGTAGCTATGTCTGACAGTCCTGTCTTGTTTCTTCTGGTAGTCTGGTACCTGACACATAGCTTTGCACTGCCAGACGGGGAGAGCGGGGGAACAGCTATCAGCATCAGGTTGAATTGGCAGTTCTTTCTCACTCTGAATGCCTTAAGGTCTGATTCAGGTCCGATAAAGTCATGATGAGGATGCCTGTCGCTCCGGGTCAGGCGCGTGGACGGGCACTGAGGTGAGAGGGACGCTGCGAGACAGCAGGCGCACAGCAGCCATACGGACACTGAGGTGAGAGGGACGCTGCGAGACAGCGGGCGCACAGCAGCCATAGCTGGGCTGCAGGGGCGCAATGCAGGTGTTACATCCTGAGCCTGCACAGGGGCCCCATTTTGGCGGCCCGACGGTTGCTGGGGCCCCCAAGGCCGCACGGCCCTCGGACGTGCGCCCTGGACGCCCACGACTGGCCTTAGGGCCACAGGTTTTGATTTGAGGTAGCATTTATTTATTTATTTCAAATTATTTGCTGTCCTATCTTTGTCTGTTCAGGCGTCGCTTTGGACTTGCAGTTCGTCCGAACAGACCTTCACAGGCCACGTTTTTGGCCTGGTATGGATGTAGGCAGGCCCTGTTAGGCCAGGTCCGTCTTTGTCCGATTGCGGACACTCCCTGCAGCATCAGCAGGGAGGGCCTGGGCGTCCGGTAGGGACCCAGGACGCCGTTTCTAGGCCTAGGACCAGAGGCACACGGAGGCATGGCCGTGCCAGGGCAGACACAGTTCGAGTAGCTCACTTCTTGGGCGACACGCTGCTGGAGCAGCGCTACCGCGCTACGCTGGAGGTAGAGGTAGAGGTGTAGGTACGGAGTGAGGCAGAGGCCATACCTGCATCTGCGGAGATCCTACCTGGGCGCCATAGCTGGTCTTCGCTCCAGCGCACCTGCAGCACAGAGGATACAAGCGGCGGCAGTTAGTACATGGCGGCAGTTACCTGCAGGTGAGATAGCGAGGAGGATGACATCTTCTTCTTCTTCTTCTCTCGCCCTCCACCTCTCCTCCTCCTCCTTCTTCTCCAGAGAGCGAGAGGTGGCATTTTTACAGCAGACATTGATTGGACATTCGGCAAGGAGACTATTTTTGGACTTTGCTATCGCGATCTCGGTCTTCTCCCTCACCTCCATCTTCATCTTCTTCAGAGAGCGAGAGGTGGCATTTTTACGGCAGACATTGATTGGACATTCGGCAAGGAGACTATTTTTGGACTTCGCTATCGCGATCTTGGTAGTCTCCCTCACCTCCATCTTCGTCTCACCTCTCCCCCATCTCTTCATCCATGGTATCTCCCCCATGTGCGAGTGCAAGGAGGGACCTTTCTTCCATGTATGCGGTCCCTCCTCCCTCTCTCACATGTGTGGTGTATGATGGGATGTCGTGTAGTATCTGATAGTCAGGTCATATCTTCGAGTCTTCCGATGCGCTACATTATGCTATTTTGATATGTATCTGGCTCCACTTCGTGGATCCTTGGCTCCACATGCATTGCTCAACTGAGCATGTATCAGCAGGTGATGGCGATGGTGCTCTTCGGGTAGAAGGCGCATGAAGAGGGGATCCAAGGGGTGACGAGGGGAGGAGAGAGAACATACCTGGTGTATGCTGGTGGTCGGCATTGGTGTTGACGTCACGTACATTGGTCTTCAACTTCAGAGTGATCCAGTTGCGAGAACGTAAATAGGCTAGATAGGCTGAGCAGGATAGGCTGGGCGCTGGGCGCCAGACAGTAAGTGTGACATTGGATACAGTGTTAGAGAGTGGCGACATTGACACCTGAGTTCATTGTATTGCTCTTATTTGGACGGTATCTTGGTGCATTGCAACTCTGCTTGGTTCATGACTATCTAAGCTACTTCGTGGTTTTGCAACTTGGATTTTTTGTCTATCGCTCCCACTCATATCCCTTGCAATTTGGTATCGGAGCTGTTCGAGATCGCCATTACCGGTGCTGGCGACATTGTTACCTGGTGCGCTGACGAAGCTTCTACGTAGTAAGGATACATTGGCACTGGCATGATTTGCCACTCCCGGGGAGAGGGGAGGCTGGCCGGAAGGTTGTGGCAACAGTGTGGGAGCTGTGGCGACAGCGGATGTATGTGGGATGATGAGAGCATGCTGACATGGCATTTTGGCTGAGGTGGCACTCCATTGTATGTATGTGGTACCGAGGCCATGACCGGTCATTGAAATGCATGTCAGCTCAATTGGTGAGAAATCCGTGGTTGGGGGCAGCTATCTTCAGGTACGTTGTTCCCTTACCTTATCTTCCCATCTCAGTCTCTTCTTACCGTGAGGAAGTGGGTCCAACTTGAGTGTCCTCTTCTAGTGCAGAAGTCGTGAGTGCTCTACCTTGAGAGTCGACATTCTGCCTGGTGGCATATCTGGAAGGAGAGGGCGGTGCCTCTGAAGGGCCCTGGTTGAAGCACGGGTCATAGTCACCATGCCAAGCCATGGGAATAGAGCACGCACGCTTTGCTGCTTTGTCCTTTTAAGCTCTTGCTACACTGTAGAGGGAACGTGGACTGACCAGTCTCATGCAACACGTCTACCAGACCGTCTATAAATTACTTCTGGCGGGATCTGATCTGAATACTGGCTGTGATCGTCGTCCTGTCTGCGACGTTAAATAATTCCTGAGGACTTCGCGGGCAGTCCTTAAATTGCCTCTTCATCAGCCAGATCAGTTGGATGTAAGGGTCATTGCAGGCGAGGATAAATAACAGGCAGTGCTGGTCATAAGCCGGTTCCTGGGCACAGGGGTGTGCCATTGTGCAGACGTAAGACACTGCTGCTTGATGATGCAGCCAGGATCATTGGATACAGGGGAGCGAAGGTTCCAATTGGTGCTCATACACAAACAAGTTAATTCCCATTTCTGCATACATCTGTGCACGTGATTTATTTTTTTATTTTGATTAGTTGAGGTGACAGGCAGCTAATACCTGACAGACAGCCTCAGACTAGAACTGTGGTAGTCTACCTTAGCCAGTTCTGCTTCGTTGCTGCTGTGTGAGAACTGATCAAAGTAGGATAGATGATTTGCTTAGTTTGTGTAAACGCTGTTGACACCACTTAATCGGTAGCTTGTTTGACTTGCCGAATATTTATTATTTTATTTTATCTTACGACTCGGTCAGACACATGCTGCGGTAGGCCCCAGTGAGGGCACTAGTGCAGATAGTGATCTGCCTAGCTGATGAGCGGTACAGGTAGTGGGGAAGGGACAGCTGACGATCGGAGGCAAACACGTAGACTAGGGGAAGACCACTACCCCCCATACCTAGTGCGCCAAGTGTCCGGCAACAGGCAGCTTTCCCATCGCCGGCTCAATTGCCAGCGATGGCAGGCCCCTTTGTTCCACAATTTGGTGTCCCACTAGGTGGTATGTCAGCAGCAGTAGCGCAGACTATAGCTTCTTCATCTTCAGGTCCAGCTGCTGCAGCTTCAAGGCAGCAGGCGGTTCAGTCATTGACAGGACCACAGCACCCTCGGTATCTGAAGACCCCAATGAAACCCCCAACTGTCTTCACAGAAGACAAGAAGGACGAGGCCCTCGACACTTGGTTGAGGACAGTTCCATTGTGGGTAAGAGTGAAGCGTACACTGCACGGGGAGGAGGTGATCACTGCCGCTTCTTACTTAGAAGGATCGGCAACAAGATGGCTGAATGGGTATATAGCGACAAACGGCTTTGCCAGACTGATGAACGACTGGACGCATACCAAGACGCTTGAAAGCTTCATGGAAATAGTGGAGGCGCGATGGCACAACCCTCAGCAGGTTCAACATGATGCGTTGACCAGTCTTGATACTAGGAAGTTCAAGACGGCGAGAGAACTCACAAGTTCCATGGAGAAACTGGTAGTAGCACCGGGAGTTCGATATGATCCCCTCTTAACCATGTTCTTGAGATGTCTTCCCACAGACATCAAGAATTTGTTGGTTAGTGAGGCTAGCATTGAGTATCACACCCTCGAGTCTTTCAGCAACAAGGCCTTAGACTTAAGGGCAAGGTTGGGAGGGGCTCAGCAGGTAGCAGGGGATGGGAGAAAGAAAAAGATTCCACAAGAGTGGAAGAGGAAGGGAAGTTTGATGATGGTTGATTCTGATGGGAATCAAACCGACATCGACGACCTTTCTCAACTTGTGGAGGATACAGAGATAGGCAGCGAGGATAGTGCAGAGGGTAGCAACTTCACCGCGATAACTAAAGGAAAAGCAGTTGACCGCCGGAAGGGCGGTCAACAAAAGAGTCAGGGGCAGGCTCAGAACTCAAACAAGGCTCCGGCTTGGGTGAGGACTGGCCTGGATCACGATGTGTGGAGGGACCAATATTTGTGAGGTGCTTGCATTAACTGCGGTGAGTATGGCCACCAGCAGTAAGTGCAAGCACGCGAAGGTTTCTCAAAAGATTGCGCCCAAAGGTGGTTTTGGGGGATCCTTCGCCTAGAGTGGTGCTTCTATGAGCGCCAACTCAGAAAACACTGATGACCAGTAGAAGTTATAGCTGCTTCTACTCAAGACGAGTGATTAGTATACCTTCACCACTTCAAGAGTTAAAAGGTATTGACTCTTTAGTCACCCCGCATACACATCTAGACCAGACGACACTCTATTCACTGGATGTGTCTGAAGCCTTAGAAGATTTAGAAACTGAGTGGTCAGCAACAGACCCTCGCGAGTCTCGGGTGGCATTGTCCAAAGGTCCTAAAGGCGGGCATTTCATTGTAGAAGTCGGTGTAGGTGGCTGCAAGTGTGATGCCTTCGTAGACACTGGCTCTACACGAAACTCCATAAGTCACGACTGTGTTGATAGACTGCGCCTAGGGGGCCGCGTGCAGCACTTGAGTAGACTCTGGTTAAGGACTACGTTAAGGACGTGGTCTGCACCTTTTCTTATGAAGGTGGGGAACTTGATCATCAGATTTCCTTCATGATTAGCGACGACTTGCCATTTGACATGTTGTTGGGTATGACCTTGAGGATGTCAAGCCCCAGTTTGACTGAGACTGGAAAGTGCTTAAGCAAGTGCTACCTTATGCGAAAACTGTTAACCTAGCTAAATATAGAGCTAGCAAGTTAGTTATATAGTCGAGCGCTTCCGAGAGCGCTGCGCCCCGCCGGGTTGACACTCTCACATGGGCAGTCCCGTGGCGCCCTACAGGTTGGAAGCACGCGGGCGCGAAGCGGCGGCTGGGTATGACGTGGACAGTTTTGGCGTGTCGACGCGTTGGTGATGGGGTAGTGACGAAGTAGAGATCGGACAGCGGGATGGCAGGAGGATGGAGCGTGACTTGGTGTTGCCTGCCTTTGAAAGCACTTCGGTGCCATCTCCGGCTTTGCGCTTCATCCAGTGGTGTTACACGTTAGCACGTTGGGTGAAGGGGAACTTGCCTTCGACAGGAGGTGGGTCTCCTTGAGAATTTCAGCCTTCTTATGGCTTCTGCTCCTTCGTCTGCGTAGTGTTGTGGTAGGTGGTTGGGATGACGCGGACGGAAAGGAGGAGTGTGTGCTTACGTGGAGCGGGAGGAGGATTGGAGGCGATATCGAGTGCGTTGATCTCGGTTTTTTTGTATACATCTCTGTCATCGACGGCACTCTCGCTGATCACCACCAGCACCAGCATCGGCGTCATTATCATTAGGGTGCTACTCGTCACCATCATCAGCAAAAGGGCGTGATTCGACATCATCAGCAGGTCGCTGCTCGCCATCACCATCATCAGCATCAGGACACTGCTCGTTGTCATCATCAAGACGTATGCCTTTACTCCTGATTCGGCGCTAGTATTATTACTACTATCAAGGAGTTGTGCATCATTCGGCGCTAGTATTATTACTACTATCAAGGAGTTGTGCATCAGGGGAGCTGCTCGTTACTCACTGTTGTATCACCATCGTCAAATTTCTCTCCATCAGACGGCACGGGTGGCAAAACTTGACGTCATCATATGGCTTTGCTCATCATCATCATCATCATCATCATCATCATCATCATCATTTTATCATCATCATTTTATCACCATCATCATTATCATCATCATAATTAGGTTATCAACAAAGGTGCTTGTTGTCAGCACCATCATCATCTTGTTGTCATCACAGGGCGCGGCTTATCATCATCATCATCGTCATCATCATCATCATCATTATCAGCATCGTCATCAACATCATCAGTATCATCAGTATCATCATCTTTTTGTAATCATAGGGTCATCAGCATCATTCGGTCTCATTCTTATCACTACCATTATCATCAGCATCATCATCAGTTTGTCATCATTAGATGTTTGCTCTTCAAGGCATTGTTTGCCGTTCCCAAAAAAAAATCATCTACCTTTCTTCATAATGACTTTCAGAAATTTCCGATTGGATCGTTCCCGGAGGATTAAACGGTAGGAAGGGGGAGGGGGGAGCTCCATCTTGCAGGGGCATCACAAGGCGGGGGGTGAAGGTCTCACAGAAGGTAGGGGCGAAGTAGGGGGTTGCCTTTTCTGGGGCAGGGGCTGGTGTGTGGGTCAATATCTGTCCCGACGGAGGCAGAAATGAGCAAGGGGTTGGGGGGGCATGCTTTAGGTGGGAACTGCGTGCTCCTGGGGAAAGGGGGGTAGAGGGTTGGTCCTATATTGGGGCCAAGGGAGAGTGGGTGACTCACCTCGGCGGAGGCAGTGTAGGGTTGAGGGGGGAGGGGTAGGGGGAGGGATGGGCGCTCTTTCTTGAACAAGTTTGTCATGTAGATTAAGTTTACTATTTCTTTTCATTTGGTCTGCCGCTCGAAGAGATTGTAGGAATAGGTGCTATTTGACAATTCATCTGTGATCCTGCGAAGGGTGGTTGAAAGTTCGGTGCCCCTCGAAGACCGATGCTGGAGCAACGCTGGCCGGAGCCGGAGCCAGGTGGCGCAACTCTGTGACCTAGCTTAGTGGAGGCGTGAGGCCTGGTAGAGAGCTCTGCGGGGCTGTGTGCGGGGGCAATCTCAGTGGTCATCGGGGGTCGTAACTGGAGCAACGCTGGCCGGTGTTGGAGCAAGGTGGTGCAACTCTGTAACCTAACCTGATGGGAGCATGAGGCCTGGAAGAGCTTCGGTTCGTGCTGAAAACAGTCATGCTGGTTGTGGTCGTAGGTGGATTGAATAGGTTTCACCTATCTGATCTGTAGGTGGTTCTTATGAATGTCTTAGGACTCTAGGGACTCTTAGCAACCCATCTCGGCGGTTTTTAACCAGTTATACTCAGTGATCTGTGGCTATTCGATGCCAGAACGACGCTGGCCGGTGCTGGGGTGTTGCCTTGTAACCTGCTGATGCAGGAGCGTGAGGCCTGGTAGAGAGATCTGGGGATGCTTTGGGGTGGGCATCCCAAGGGACAGCCAAGGTTTGCTGCTGGGGCGACGCTGGTCGGAGCTGGGGCGAGTTGTGTTGCCCTGTAACAGTAAAACTGTGTTGGAAAGTCTTAGTAGGGCTTGTTAGGAATTCTGAAGGTGGTGAGCATTCGTAGGACCTCTGTGGCAGGCTACTGCATGAGTAGTTTCTTAATACGTCATTAGATATTCA